CCATACCAGGCACACACCTAGTAAGTACTAGGGACACACTAAGCACAAACTTAGTATATACCAGGCACGCACCTGGTACCATATCAGGCACGCACCTGGTAAGTACTAGGCACGCACCTGGTAAGTGCTTGGCTCACAGTACCTACCAGGACTTCACCTGGTACGTGCTATGCATATACTTTGCCCTTAGACACACCTGGTAAGTGTTAGGCACATACTAAGTACATACCAGGCACCATGCACGTACTAGGTACACACCTGGTAAGTACAAGGCACACACTTGGTACATACTAGGCATATACCGTGTATGTTTCAGTTTGATACAACGTACCAACAGGAGCTGTGCTGTATTATGAAGTTTACAGWGTATGTACCTGGTATGTACTAGGCTGTATTATGCATTACTAACAATGTTTTGACAACAGTACTTCCCCCACAGAGACCCATTATGTACAGTGCTACAGACAGCTCCTCTTAAAGCACCATGATAAAAAAAAGGCGGAGCAGGTGTGGTGGTGGTGGTGGTGGTGGTGGGGGGGGGGTTCTCAGCTATGCATGGCTCAAATCCTCAAGTACAAACAAGTTCCAACCACTTGTGACTCACACTGAACACAAATATACAATCTGTAGAGCAAAGAACATCACATCATTTCAATGTGCTTGGCTTGTAGCTTACATATTTACAAGTGATCACGGATGTGCTTGTGTGTCCGTTTGTTTGCATACGTGTGTGTGTGTGTGAGGGAAATTAAGTGTGTGTGTGTCAGGTGGCCCTGAGAACAGTGTGCAGGTGTATTGCTTGTGTGCAGTTTGTGCTTTGTAGACTTACAGGTGTGGTTTCTGTGGAGAGGCAGTGTTTGGAAAACTAGACGTATGTTTATGTGGTCGTTGTCTGAGGAGCACCAGAGTGGGACAGATAAAGGGTCACACATGTTGGGAAAACAACTAGGATAGGATAAAGATGCTCCCGCCCTGAACGATGAACATAAATCTGTTGTAATGATGGAAGTGTTAGTCAATTATTGTCAGCAATATAAATAACCAACTAATCTAACTGTACTTCAGCTGTCATGTGGTCCTCGAGGGTCACTATCCTACATGTTTGACTTGTTTCTCTGCTCCAACACACTGGATTAAGTGGCTGAATTACCTCTTTACGTTCTGCAGAAGCCTGTTATTCATAAGTCAGGTGTGTTGGAGCAGAGAAACCTCTAAAACACACAGGATGGAGGCCCTCCAGGACTAAAACCACAGAGTAAAATGTGGTGAAACTCGAGGGGAAAAGGAAGCTCCAGACTTCTACTTGTTTAACTGAACCTTTAGAGTAACTCCAATAATGCAAACAGGTTTCAGACAGTAATCTAATTTAACTGACCCTCTAAAGAGAAACGCACACTTGGGATGTCTGCCTAACAAGAAAACAAAAATGTCCCTCAGTAAATTAACACCGTCTCCGACTGTGGATGAGCTGCATTCCCGGCGGAGCGCCCTGTGCCAGTTTTAGCCCCGACCGTGTTAGTCTGTGCCACCCGTCCCGGATCTGCCCGACGCTCCGGGAGGACAGGGTCAGCAGTCAGGGCGACTCCTCCTACGTGTCTGCTCAGACCGAGGGGAAATGAAACGGTTGCTCACTGAGGTACGACTGTCTGCCTTATTAATGAGGGCCATCTGGGGAGAGGGAGGCCGGGGGCAGGGGGGCGGCGTAGAAGAAACCCTCAGCTGAGTTTTTCACCTGCATGTAAATTTCTCAGAAGCCTGAAGAGGTCTGATCCAGAAACACTGGAGTTGATTTAAGATCCAGCACACGAACTTTATCTTTCCATCTCAACTCAAGTTGTAAAATATTCACTCAGCTCCGTCACAAATTCTATATTTTCTTTATTACTTATTGCCTGAAAAATGTGTGTTTGTGACTAGTGCGTCTGTCTCTCAGATGTCAATCCATTAATATCAAGCAGGTGCCCGGTTCAGGGCGAACATGAAAAGAATCAAAACCATCTGATGCACATTCCCTTCGATTTTTTCCTTTGCCGACTGTCGTCTGGTTCCTGTTAGACGATAGAAATAAGAAAACAGAGCTCAGACCGTTGCGAACACCAGAAATTAGCTGAAGTACCGTCGCAAACTCCTGCTGAAGCCACCAGATGAGGCGAGAATGTGATTTATCAAAAGCATTTTAGAGTTTAAAGGAAAATTTTTATCTACGTGTTGCAGTCTTAACTAATATTGTGTAAATTAAATATGTGCTATAGCAGGGTTATTCCTCTAAACGCTAAGGTAGCTTCCATAAATATCATTAAAAGAGTATTTTGAAGGTTTTTTTAGTTGTGTAAATGTTGCACAGTAAGAATGCTTTCACAAACACATTCTTTGTTTTGATCAAACAGAAATGCAAATTTGAGCTCACAGAAAAATCGGAGTCAAAGGAATAMTTGTTGTGACCACAGAGTGAACTTGCACAAATCCCGGGATTCTTTTTTAAGTTTGCAGTCAGGTGTATGATTAACCAAATTATGCCGAGGTGGTTTTAATGATCATTTTCATGGAGTTAAAACACAGTCATTAGCTGAGAATAGGAACAAGCTGTGGGAGGCTTGAAACTGGGTGAGGAACGTTCAGACTTGGGTTTCAAGACGCAGCAGTGTGGAGCATTGCTTCACTGTCTGGAGAAATCTGGACAAAATTATTCTTCATCAAACAACCAGGGTGAATAAAATATAAATAAAAAAAAGCCAAACTTGGAAAGCAGGCCAAGCTAACCCAACTCTGCATAAAAACAAAACTAGGACATAAGAAAGAGCAGGTGTTCAGCTCTGATGAGTCAAAAATAGAAAGATTTCTCTGCAGCAGAAAGCAGTTCATTCACCGAAAGGCTGCAGACTCAAAGAGTCTTAAAGCTACAATTCTGCAAAACCAAGTGGGGATTTGGTGATTAATGTTTTTAACGCTCATCCATCATGCAGTAACGTTAGGGATGTGTCTGATTGRCCCTGAATTTACTCTACATTAGAAAAAAGTCCTGGAAGTGGTGTTATGACTCCTTGTCATCATCAAATGTAGCAGACAGAGGATCTGCTCACAAAGAAGTCAGAGTTTCTACGAAAATTAGATGAATGCTTTTTCAATCAAAGCGTGGTCGCACCAAATGTTCCCTTTGCAGTGCTAATGGATAAATTCAAATTTGTCAAAAGTGTTCTCAGTTTTCCCACGCCTGCCGTAAAATGCTTTTGCACCATGCTGCATGTGATCACAACATCATAAGGCAYCACGAGAGAAAGAACCGCTCAGCCTTTAAAACATCCTCTCAGAATGAACGTTACGAAAAATAATGCAACACGAGCTTCTCTTAAAATGTCTAACTGGAGCTCCAACTTTTGTCAATGTCTCTGCATCTTTAACCAGGCTGCCGGCAGCTCGCCAGCCTCGTACAGTGAGGTACTTCCTGTCGCCGGTGGCACAGGGGCGGGGCTAGACGTTTTATTTATTTATTTATTTGCAAGGGGGTGACACAGGGGTGGCCGTAGTATTTTTTAGAGGGGCACATTCAAATAAAGCGCTCTGGATTTGAAAATTCAAGATGGCCGCCACAGCTCAGTCCAAATGTTTCAATTTAGTTGTTTTTAAGCAATATTGAAGATTTTGTGAGATCATCGCTAAGAATGATTAAAAAAAAAAACATGCTGAATGCGTGACACACCTTCTTATTCAGCCATTTMTAGACACAAAGCTGAAGATTAGAGTAGAAGTAGCCAAAAACAATCTACACAGTAAAAACTGSTTTGTCAAACTTTTCAGAGTTAATTTCAGTTCTCAAAGTGTTATTTTAACACTTTGAGTAAARTGACATCCAGTGTTGGTGTTAATTCACAGAGTTGATTTCCTCAGTGTTGTCTCAAATCTGGACAGTGTTAAATAAGCTCCACCCACTGTTAAGTTTTATATAAGTGTTGTATTATAACACAATGCATTGTTGAAAAAAGCATTCTGAAAAGCCCCGCCCTCTTCCTCATGGACCCGAATTTTCTCAGCAAGGAATGCTGGGTAATCTTGTAGAAATGATGTGTTTGCATGTCTAGGACTGTTAAAAATGTTCATAAATGTAAAAATTAGTATTTCTGGTTAGTTTTCTTGTTCAGGTTAGTTAGTTGTTCAAGTTTAAGTTTGTGTTATTGGCCATAAATCGACACTTTTGTGTGCAAAGGTCGACTCTGTTGCACTGCTTTGCCAACTAATGACCAGTGTTAATACAACACTTAAAGTGTTTACTTTAACTCTAGGATAGAGTGCACAACTCTGTGTACTCTGACTCACACTGTGTAAAAAAAGGGAAAAGAAAAAATAATAGTATTATACAACAAAGTGTACTTTATAAAGTAAATTTTGTGTATAATTAACTCCATAAAAATAACATTACTAAGTAGAGTGTAAACAAACTGTGGTGTTAAGTAATTTTACTCGATTCATTGTTGATTTTGACACTAAAATAAGTAAAWTTAACTGAAGTTTATAATGGCTACATTTTACACAAATTTTGAGTGGGACCAAATATTATATGAAACAGAGTTAAATTCAACTCTATAGGTGTTAAAATGACACTTTGTTTTTTTTTACTGTGTACCAAATTCTAAATACTGATCAACAATTCAAAATGGCCACGACAGCTAGCTTAAAAAAGCTACAGCTCTACCATTGTTTGTTGTGGAGTAGCCATGAATGTTTGCATCCCAACTGCCAATGCTTATCCCAAATTAAGCTAACCGCTAATGCTAACGCTAATTTTACAAACAACTATAATCCAGCCATTTTTTAAACATACACAGCTGAAAAAGTATACAGTACAGTAGMATCAGACAAAATTTAACAAAATTTAAATGCAAATGCAAAATCCAAGATCTGCACATGCTTCTCGATTCCTGGGGGGGGTGGCACTTAGGGTGGCCAATCAGGTGCCACCCCTCTGGCTCCGCCCCTGCCGCAGGAGAACAGTCACAGACCGGAGAGCGAGAGTGCTTTCAGACCCCATAAATGTGAGTGAGACGGAGCTCAGGATTGTTGTGTGTCGATCGTTGTGTGTGTCCAATAATGGCAGAGGGAGGAGCACATCCATCACACCAAACGCATACCTCACACACACAAACACACACACACACACACACGTAACAACGACAGTTTTCCCTGCCTGCAGTGAGAGTATAGAAAAAAAGATGTGCTTTCTGACAGGTAGTGTGTGTGATTAGGTCATGGGTGCGTTTAGCAGCTTCTGGTCCCGGTCGGTGCAAACAAACCTCAGGCAGCAGACAGCGTGCTCAGAAAGGCTCAGATACACATCAAAGACAGAGGAAACGAGGAAGGAAGGATGGAAAGTAGGAAGCATTAATATTCTACAAGCACAGGTTAATACCAAAGATAATATTGCATCTTCTAGAACTAGCCTCAATTGCTCAGTGTATATAAAACTGGAAGAAAGCTATGCTGTGATAATACAGTTACATTTCACTTTATAGTTCTAAAATATTTTATAACAATAGTTATACTTTAGAGTATGTACATAAATACATTATATATTACTGTCAACACATTGTTATAGAAATACACCATACTTATATGTGTATATAGTCATGTTATAGCCACACATACACACATGTACAATGGATATACAATCAGAATCAGCTGTTGTGACGCAGTGTTGAGTAAACCTCCGTCCGACATTCAGCAGGTGAGCTCAGAGAGACGAGTTCAGGTGTATTGCTATAAGAACAGACCGACGTTCAGCTCACTCCTCGCGCAGTCCCAGCTGAACGTTTCTCAGAAAATCCAAGTATTGCTTCGTGTAAAATGTGCCCCCCCCCTCCTCCCCCTCCGAGGAGGAAAAAAATCAGGTCGGAGAGGAGAGAAAAGCAGAAAAAGTTCGGTGGCTCTCGGTCAGCAGGTAGGAGAGAGTTTCTGCAGCGGCCCCTAATCGAAGACAAGCTGTGAGCGAACCCATCAGCCGAGGCGGAAAAGGCGACGCCCCTCCCGCTCGCTGACAGACACGCAAACAGGCGGGCAGGTACGTGTGTGTTTGTGTGTGTGTGTGTGTGTGTGTGTGTGGAGACAGGTAAAGAGTGACGAGTGTGGCCCAACAGCTTCCTGCCTTTAGAAGTCGGTGAAGAGATCCTGCGGACCCAGATGGATGATAAAAGGAGCGATGGTGCGCGGCTGGTAAAAAGGATTGTCAATGAACAGACCACCTGCAGGGACGAAGAGCAGAGACACCATCAGCAGCACATTTAAACTCTCRTCACGTTCAACATTACATTTAAACTCACTGGAACCTTCACTTTCCTGCTTTTTAGATTAAAAATGACTAAATAATTACAGCTACGACTAAATAACTACTCAACAATCTTTTATGTTTGTTTATACTTCTCTGCTCTTACATTTTTAAACAGCTACTTTGTAAAACATGAATATTAAATTAAACACAATCGTTTTTATCAGTAATATTCCAACATTTCAATACAATTGACAGATAAGTTGTGCAGAATGGAGCCTCGTCATAAATGCTTTTATTTTTTCATTTATTTAGGTCATCTGTGCATTTGAGTTTACTAGGATACTTTACTCAAACGTGTAATTTTTAACTGTGCAATACGTTTTCATTTAACCATACTTTTTATATGTCCATAAGTGCGTTTATTTTGTCCTCACATTTTATATTATTCTAGTGTGCTTATCTTTTATTCTTTATTTTATTTGAAGAGTTGCAGCTGTAATAACTGTAATTTCCCTCTAATTAATAAATAATTCTGATTATTCTGATCATAATATTCATATCTGGGTTTTTATACGTATAACAGACAAAATGTCTTTAAAAATTAATCAAATTAGCAGCAACACCTTATTCCACTTGTGCAAGTATTTGTGTTTACAAATGCAAATTACAAACTGAATCCATCTTTTATTTTTGTAATTCTTTTCTTTATGTAAATAAAACTAAATAAACGTGCAGATTGTTTAGCTAGGATCAACTGAAACTATAAGAAATTGTCTCTAAAATCTTTTTTTTTCTAAGTTTCCTCGTTTGCTGACTGATAATTCTTTAACACGTTGAGTTTATAACTACAGTTACTACAATGTTGACAAAAATTAAGTAGAGTTGTTATTGTGTTCTGCAGCAAAAACTCATTGAACAAAGTTAAAAGATAATCTCTAACGTTCACTTTGAAACTGATTTGAGCCATAGATTTAAACAGAATAAAAACAAAACAAAAGACAGTAAAATAAAACTTGTATGAAAACATAAAAATTAAAATAAAAAATGGGTCGAAAAGCATCAGCCGCCTTCTGAGGTTGAAGAAAACCCGGACGTGACGACAAATCAAACTTTCAAAAGGTTCATTGGAGCTCAACCAACCATTGGACAAGACACTGGATCCTCTCATCCAATGGCTGCGCCTCAAAGCCGTAAGCATGGAGACATCCTCAGAGGGTTATCTCCCGCTGGCTGGATGGGAGCGACGTGGTGACGGGCCAACGAGCTGCGTCTGGACCGACACCGACTCGTGACTGCTCTGAGTTACTTCAGCGTCAAACCTTAGTTTCTATTTATAGCTTTTAGTTAAAGAAGAGCGGTTCTCTGAGGATCAAAACATGAGCAAACGATGGCAATGATGCTGAAAAAAATTAATAAAACATAAAAACACAGACAGCGACATGTGGGATTGTTTTTCCTGTGAACATAAAACTTTCTAAACACATTCAGAAACGAGGAGCAACTGAATGCTATAAAAAAACGATCTCACAGGAGCTTTTTAAATTCATCCTTTGTCTTCAGGCTTTTTTTCTCTAAATATCTACGAGCTGCAGGTCAGAAGGATGTATGGAGGAAGTTTCCATTTGTGACTATAAGCAGGAGCTGCACATTCAAATATTTCACCGTAGCAACTTTTTGTGCAGGTTTAAATTGAATAAAACGGCTCTATAAAGTATGAATCAAAAGATTTATCTGCTTTAAGTTTCCACATCAGCTGAAAGCCTTTAAAAATCAGATATCCATCAGGCAGCGTTCAGCTTTCATTTGAGCTCAACTTTATTCATTTTTCAGCATCATTGATTTATCCATATACATCCTTCACACAGCTCACATTATTGTGTTTTATCCACAGAAAATGTGTTATGTAAAATATATTGCAAAGAATATCCTTGTCTCAGCACAGAATGAACAAAACAATAAAAAAGCTCATATATAGAGATATAATTTAGACTCAAAGACTGAGGTAACAATTCACAGTACAAACGCTTTAAGGTTTATTTTTATATGATCATAGACCTGCAGGTTTTAAATAAAAAGTTTTTTTAAACAGTAAGAAAAAAAAGCTAAAAAGCTCATTTACAAATCTTAAACTCAAGTCTTTTTATCCCCATCATTGAAAGAATAGAAAATAAATTACAAAAAAAAAACAGATTCCCTTTTAGAAAAAACAAAGCTGGTTGGGTTTGGTTTGTGTGTCTCCTGTGCTAAAAGAAGTGGTAGTGGGGGACGGGGTAGGCGGGCACTTTCATGACAGGCAACAGAAGCATTCTCTTGGGCAAACCTAGAGGGGAGACATGAGAAGCTCTGCATGAGTGTCGGGCAACAAAATAAATAAAATATAAATAAATTAAAAAAAAACACCAAGAGACTCTGGGTGCAGCACACACTGTGTTCAACAAACAGCTCGCAGCAGATAAGACCACCCTGAGGGGGGGGTGAGAGCAGGAAGGAAGGAATGCGAGGTGACGGCGCTCATTAGAGGTTAGACGAGCGAGAACGAGGAAGAGGACGGTTAAATGGATTTTTTTAATGCCTTAAACTATTGCTGAGATCTTGAATATGCTGAGACAAAATAAACAATCTGTAAAACTTCTTCTCTGCGTTTTTAAAAAAAGTAAAACTCAACTCAACATGAGATTTTATGCATTTATTCAGATAAGTCTAACCGACTGAGAACTGGTTATTAATTGTGCAGATTCTCAGTCGTCCAGAACGTGGCAAATCCCAAGAGTTTAAAAACGAGACGAGTGGGTTTCTTCTCTGTGGAAGACGTTTCCTCTGAGGAGTTCAAACATGTTACATTTAAATAAAGTTTAACTTGAAGGCACCTAATTTAAAAGCTTGAAATGCTTTTTTTCTAACTGAAAGTGAAACGCCTTCAACAGGAAGAAGTCCAGTTATTTAATGATTCATAGATCTCAAACAATACTGTGATGAAAACCAAGTTAAAGGAAAACTGAGACTAAAGATTATTTTTAAGGAAAGAAGTTTTTTTTTTGCTGTCATGTACTCTATTTTGAGAATTTATGAACTTTTTCTTTAGACTATTTTACGTTATTTGCCTATAAGAAACCCCAAAGTCCCAAAGCAAAGCATTGAAAAATATGTAAAAAGAAAAAAAAAAAAGCACAGTAAAGAGAGTTGTCATGTCTTTGTTCTTGTCTCTTGTTGAAACTGAAGTTGTTTCTTAGGTTGATTTAAATAAATCCAATATATTCAAGGTAAAATATGGGTAGCAACTATATTCTTCGGCTATAAAAATGGAGAAATAAAGACAAAAAGTGGGAAAAATATGCTGCATGAATTTGCAGATTTTTTAACTTATCACAATAATAAAAACGGAAAAATTAGGAAAACAAACTGAATCTGCCTCCGGCTCGATAAACACAAAAAACTGAGCAGCACTTCATCCTCAGAGCTGCAGGATTCTGGAGGGACTCTACTAAATGCCTGTCCGGGGCCTCAGTCCAGCTTCTCTGAGCACATAGGAGCCTTTCAAATCCACGGCTGTCGGCCGGACAGAGAGGCCTCCGGACGCTTCGTGTGTACACAAACTGAACAAGGCCGAGTCTGTTGGTGCAAATACGACTGAGAAACTGAGACAGAGCGGACTTGGGTTCAATAACTACACTGGAACGGTGAAAACTGTGGAAAGCTTCTGGCCTATAAATGAATTATTAAAGCTCAGTGACCACCGGTGAGGACATGGACAAGGACATGAGAAGAGGTGATCAGATAGTTTGAGCAGGAAAACAGGCGACAGAGAAAAGACTGTTTTAAAGAGTTAAACATGGCTGCTTCCCATTTCTGCTTTTTACACTTTTCTCTTTTTACAAAGTGCAGAAAACAGTGGGCGCAGCTCATATTTAGATTTAAAATCAAGGCTCGAGGCAAAAAGCAATTCAAAAACATACGAATGTAAACAAGATGAATGGACAATTAGCGACAACACAGATAAATCTATGGCACAAAAACACACAAACAATTTAGGATTTAGATTTAAATAAAAACAAGCAATAATTCCTATAACTTGTTTTAGAAAAAAAAGGAATAAGCTGCAAAAAGCAGTGGAGAAGAAAGGTTGGAGCTTAAAGTAAGTTTGCCGCAGACTCATTAATCTACCCGAGACGGGTTAGGAGGGGAGGAAGGTTACACATGGGGAAAAGGAAGGGGAAAGGATGAGGGAAGAAGCACGTACCGTATGCAGGAGCAGCTGCTGCAGCAGGGCTGTAGCCGTACGGTGTACTGAAGCCTGTTGGGAAGAGGTTACAGGGTCTAATTCAGTCCTGTACAGGTTTGATTCCAGGCTGCGTCTCTCAGTATTCAGTGTTTGGCAGGGCTGAACTCTACAGACTCAGAATAAAGCTACAGGAGTGGATGCTGCACTCCTGCAGGATGTTAGRAAACTAAAACTTGATACATTTGGAATAAAAGCAAAACGAGAGAGAATAAAAAGGGTGCAAATAATCTGTCAGCTACATTATCTGTAAGATCTGATTTGTTTTGACATTTATTTTGTCCCACGAGCTGCAGGGTGCTGTGAGACGTTTGTGATATTTCCACTCCTGCTACAGAGTCAGAGTCAGAACAGATGTTTATTTGCTACAGAGAAATGAATTAGCAGCTTAAAGCAAGTGGAAAATATTTAAAAAGCTTAAAAATAAATAACTAAATAAATGTCACGTTGGACAAAATAGTGTCAAACATAAAAACAAACATAAAATGCTCCACTGAACAGGAATTTTGTTCTGATTTAGTTAAATTGGAAAATAGATTAAAGTGAACCATCACATGCAACTCCAAGWGACAGAAGCAAAAACAAAAGATAATAAAAAACAGCTGACAAACGTCATCATGCATTAAAAATACAGTTATATTAAAGGGGACATTTCATGCAAAATCCACTTTTTAGCCATTAAATACATTTTATTGTGTACTTGGAGTCACTAGAAGTGCAGAAAAGTTGGGGCGGGTGTGAGGCACCTTGTTTTGATTCAAAGAGACAGCCTTAAAATGAGTTGATCTAAGACCCACTTCAGTAAAGGGGTCAAAGAGGGGCTTGTGGAGTTACAATAAGGAGGAACTCAGACCAAAGCGTTGCAGTTCCACTTTATATAAATGTGAAAAAGACGGGTTTAAAACATGATATCTCCCCTTTAATAAAAGAAGCATTATTTCAGTCATACAAATATTCACTACCTGGTGTGACGTATCCAGGTGCAGCGGCGCTGACGAAGGTTCCTCTTGCGAGTGCTGCTCGTCCTCTTCCTCTTGCTACCTGTGCTGCTACCGCTGAGGCTGCTGCCGCTGCAGCCAGAGCACTTTTAGTCTGAACACACAAACACAGAACATGACAGCTGTAATCATTTTGATGTAACTTTGAAAAACTATATATATATGTATATATGATTTCATATGATTTTACAAGAGGTGACACTCAGGGTGTGTTGTCAATGAGTCTCAACCACATTATTTAGTTTAATATCTGTTAGACTGGCAACAAAAACAAGACAACAACATTGACCTGAACGTTTGCTACTTTTGTTTTAGAATCAACACAATGTTAAAGTGTGTCTTCTTACCTGAGGCAGGATCTTTTTCTTCTTGATTGCAGCTGCGTTGGGACCAGAGAAGAGTTTTTCCAGAGCTGCTAGAGCGGCGCTGGCCTTTGCTACCTTTTTGTTGGGGCCTGCCCCACGAAACTTCTGCCCATCGACCTCCACCTTACACAAACAGAAAATATTCAAGACTGATGAAGACGTGTTTCCAGGGATTAAAGCTAAAAAAAATAATCTTTTGACTGTTTTTTTTTCTACACCTAATCGTATTCCAAGAACCCTCACTGATCGGATAAAGCTATGGCTTTGGTTCACTTTATTTGTTGAAAGCCATGACAGTTTAATCACTATATCATAATTAGATTAGATGGCTTTAACTGGACCACAAAAACAAGATTTTTTTTCTCTTTTCATTTTTACAGATGACTGAAATCCATCCTGGTTAAGATCAAATTGATGGAAATCCATCTTGGCACCAAAGACTTTTAATCCCTGTTTCACAATCAGTGCTAAAAAAAAAACTCATTTTGGGACATCAAACATTCTTGTAAACAAGATTAGTTATTTTTTCAATAGCTACTGTCCCTTTAAATCCAACAAAGTTGCCTAAAACGTGCGTGTTTATCCGTCACCAGTGACTCAGGGTGAGAGATTCACTGAGTGGGACAGCTTGTTTGGTAATGCCCTGCTGTCAGGCAGACCTGCTAATCAATCAGCAGAGCGACGGAGCAGCCAGGCGTGTTGGAAAACACCCCACACCCCACAGAGAGCAGGCCTGCCTCAGGAACCAAGCTGCCTGATTACTCTGCTGGGTGATCAGCCTGGTTCTGATTGTATACTTTAGCCTGTGTGTGTGTTTGTGTGTGTGTCTGTGTGTATTCTCGTGGCTGAGTTCAGCTGTATAGGTACGTGATGTTTTCGTCTCACCTCCATGACAAAGCGTTTGTCGTGGCTGCCTCCGCTCTCGGAGATGAGCTCGTACTTGAGGCCTCGTCGCTTCTCGTTCAGCTCCATGACAGGATTCTTCCCACTCGCCGTCAGTATGGGGCCCTGAGTTCGCACCTGGGGGGTTAAAGAGTCCTTTTATTTGTGGGCACTGCAGCTTCCATTTAGAAAACACACAGCTGATTGTAAACATGGAAGATGGAGCAGAATACAGCGGGTAAAATAAGTATTGAACACGTCACCATTTTTCTCAGTAAATATATTACTAGAGGTGCTAATGACATGAAATTTTCACCAGATGTCAGTAACAACCCAAGTGATCCATACATACAAAGAAATCAAACCATAAATGTCCAGAAATGAAGTTATTTGTAATAATGCGGAATGGCACAGGGAAAAAGTATTGAACACACTTACTGAAATTTATCTAATACTTTGTACAAAAGCCTTTGTTGTCAATGACAGCTTCAAGACGCCTCCTGTATGGAGAAACTAGTGGCATGCATTGCTCAGGTGTGATTTTGGCCCATTCTTCCTCACAAACAGTCTTCAAATCTTGAAGGTTTCGTGGACCTCTTCTATGAACTCTGATCTTTAGTTCTTTCCATAGATTTTCTGTTGGATTCAGGTCAGGTGATTGGCTGGGCCATTCCAGCAGCTTTAGTTTCTTTCTCTGAAACCAACTGAGAGTTTCCTTGGCTTTGTGTTTGGGCTCATTGTCTTGCTGAAATGTCCAGCCACATTTCATCTTCATCATCCTGGTAGATGGAAGCAGATTTTTATCAAGAATGTCTCTGTACATTTTTCCATTCATCTTTCCTTCAATTATTTGAAGTTTGCCAGTACCATATGCTGAAAAACAGCCCCACACCATGATGTTCCCACCTCCAAACTTCACTGTTGGTATGGTGTTTTTGGGCTGATGTGCAGTGCCATTTGACCTCCAAACATGATGTGTATTCTGGCATCCAAACAGTTCAGTGTTGGTCTCATCTGACCAGACTATATTCTCCCAGTATTTCACAGGCTTGTTTAAATGTTGTGCAGCAAACTTTAAAGGAGCTTCAACTTGCTGTTTCTTCAGCAGTGGAGTCTTGCGTGGTGAGCGTGCATACAGGCCATGGTGGTTCAGTGCATTACTTATTGTTTTCTTTGAAACAATCGTACCTGCTAATTCCAGGTCTMTCTGAAGCTCTCCACAAGTGGTCCTTGGCTCTTGGACAACTCTTCTGATAATTCTTTTCACTCCTCTGTCAGAAATCTTGTGAGGAGCACCTGGTCGTGGTCGGTTTATGGTGAAATAATGTTCTTTCCACTTCTGAATTATGACCCAACAGTGCTCACTGGAACCTTCAGAAGTTTAGACATTCTTCTGTAACCGATGCCATCATTATGCTTTGCAACAATAAGGTTGRGAAGGTCTTGAGAGAGCTCTTTACTTTTACCCATCATCAGATGGTTCTTGTGTGATACCTGYCCATCATTTGGGACTGAACCAGCTGATATTAACTTGCACTGACAAGGGGCAGGCTTGCTTTCTAATTACTGAGAGAGTTCAGCTGGTGTCTTGGCTTTCCATGCCTTTTTACACCTCCCTTTCTTCATGTGTTCAATACTTTTTCCCTGTGCCATTCCACATTATTACAAATAACTTCATTTCTGGACATTTATGGTTTGATTTCTTTGTATGTATGGATCACTTGGGTTGTTACCAACATCTGGTGAAAATTTCATGTCATTAGCACCTCTAGTAATATATTTACTGAGAAAAATGGTGACGTGTTCAATACTTATTTTACTCGCTGTGTGTAAAAAGTGTCAGCATGCCAGTAAAGGTTATATAATCTTTATATGTTTATAAACACAGCACAAAAAGTACAGAAATGTACTTGTTACTTGAAACTTGTTTGTTATAACAAAGCTTTTTTAGCAATAAAGCCTGTTTAATCCCACTAAATGTTGCTGCGGTTGTTAGGAATAAATCATTTGTGGTTTAAGCAGCAGATTACTGTTCAGGTGCTGCCAACCAGGAGCCTGATTGGTGCACGACTGTCAGCACCTGTAAGTTCATATCTCCACATACTGTATATCGCACGTTTCTAGCCCCTCACCTCCAGCGTGTTTGAACCATCTGAGGAATGAGTTGGGTTATTGCTAGAGTGTGAAGACGTCTCGCTTTTCCCCTCGCTGTCCGACTTCTCATCTGAGCTCATGGGGTCCAGATCTGAGTCGAAACCTGTCGGGTATCCCATCGCCTGGAGAACCTGGGAAGGCAAAATCATGTTTTCTTTAAAAAAAACAACAACAACAAAACAAAACAATGCTGTATTTATGTATGTATGCAAGTACCAAATGTCATGAAAGAAAGGGTCATAGAGTTTAATTAACCAGTACTGATACATTTCATTACAGTTTAAAGGTGCTTATTGGGAGGTGAGTTTTGATAAGAGGCGTGTAGTTTAGAAAATTATCCAGGAAAAAAATAGTTTCAGACTCAAAAACACGACAATATCACAGCTGCTGAACTTTTGTCTGGGTGAACGAGAGAAGGAAAGAGGGATGAAAAGGTGAGCAGTCAAGGGAAAGAAGGCTGAGTGAGAATAAAAAAATAAGAAAAGAACAAGAAAGGACCTTTTATGGGAATGGATAGCGGATTATCTTCGCTCTGTGGACTGGAGAGCCTCTTTGCTCACAACCACTTTGGGATTACACAGATTAAACAACCTCTATCATTTCTCACAAGAACACTAACAGAAGAGAAAACCATTTGTCGATTCATACAGGTGAGGCAGCAGCTGAAGGTTTAACTTGGTTACTGTTTAACTGCACTGGTTCATAAGAAATGTGCTCAAACTAAATGTTTAAACATAACAAAACACAATTTCAAAAGTGTCTTTCCTGATTAATCTGCCTCCAGTGTTCTTCCATATAAAGTCTATTTGCAGACAGTCTACATTTAAGCTAAAATCTAATTAAAGGTGAGGTTTTGTGTATTTTCCGGGCCCATAGTTCAGTTCTACATCACACTCAAGTAACTATGTTACCTTCCGTTGTTATGAAAATGTTGTATATATCAAAAACAAATTTCACTTTATATCACAGCCTCTCTGAACACCTTGGAATTGGTCTCTGTCTCTTTAAGAACCTCCTACCATTTCTGACACTCCCACTTCAGCACATCATCACAACGCTGCTTCATGCCATTTACAACCTTTCCATAGGAGAAAAGCCCAACTAGTTCTGACAAACCGTGTCATTCTTAGGAATAAGAAAAAGAGGGTTGTCTCCTTGACATCCAAAAATAAACTTCCTCAATGAAGGCATGCTTTTAATATGGAGAGTACTGGACAGAGAAGTAGTTATTATTACAAGCCCAACAGACGCACAGTTCCAACAGGTGTTTGTTAATTGTTACTCTGTGGGGCGAGAGCTCAGACCGAGCACAAGGGAGGAGCTTTGAGTAAAGAGGTGGAGCTTTGTATGAGCAAGCATTTCAGCAGCTCCACATGGCTACCACCTCTCAGAGATGCATGAATGAGTCAAAGCAACACTCTGAGTATGTTTTTGCAGAGGAAATGACATTATAACATCACATAAAGCTCAAAAATGTCAATTTTGCACAACACCCCCCCCAATGTCAAAAGATTGTAATACATATTAWCCTCTTAATACCTGTTCAATATAAACATATAAACAGTGGTAAATATTGCAGCGAGTCATCTTTATAGACAGGCTTTTATTCAGTGGATATCTTACTTTGACAGCAACGTGGAGCTTGGCTGTCTTCTTGGAGGATCCAGATGCTTCATAAACAGTTCCATCCAGGTCCACAGACATGGTGAAGACTGGAGCGTGTACTGGCCCAGACTGGGAGAGCAGGCGATACTGCAGCCCTGGTCGGATCTGGTTCAGACGCATCAGGGCGTTCATTGGCTGGTTGGAGTCTATGGCTTTACTGTCGAGGACTGTGGAAAGAGTAATGAACATTTTCARAGAAAACTAACAAGCAAATATAAACAATGTACCATTTATTCAGCTAAACTCGAAACGACTGGACAAGTTCAAAGATAAAGTACATAATGAATCAAAAGCCTTAATGGTTTTTACTCTAGTCAACAGTTTGCATGATGAATAAAGATGTCTTTATATTTTATTCCTCATTAAATCACTCTATTCCTGTTTGTCAATATCTAGAAATGTCTCTTTCCATTTATAAGGTGTTGTTCATCTCCTTGTATAAAGAAAGAGCTGTGGATGGTTGGTTGGCCTGCTAAAATGTTAGCAATCAATACTATTGATCTGCCTCCAGGCATGAAACAAAGTAGAAAGCAAAAGAAAAAGATTTAACAAAAACAGAAACAAGGCAGAAAAGAAGCAAAGCTTGCAAACAAATAAAGACTTCTATCTCAGAGAGCAAAAAACAAAACATGTTTTTAAAACAATATAAATGTATTCCTTCACTAAGTAAAAAAATGCTTCTTTATCAGTATAATCTGAACCAGTGACCATAAATGGGACACATATTGCGGTCTATTTCTTCTTCTTCTTCTTTTTTTTTTACCTTTTCTAAGATTTCTCTTCATTTTTTTAATGAGGTCTTTGTCATCCATCATCCCATCCTCGTACGGCCTCTTCAGGCCTAAACCTAAAGGACACAGAAAAAGAGGAAGAGTTAAAAATCAAGAAGAGCTGTTCATGTGAATATATACAAAAGTCACTAACGCCTGACGGCAGGACAGGAAGGCAATGTCTCGAAAAACAAACAGTACGTGGGAGCGAACCTACAACAAGATGGATAAACTCACAGATGAGATAAACAGAGCTGACAGGCGGAGCAGCAAAGATGTACAGTTCGAGCTATTCTTCCACACACACCTTCATCTGTAAACACTCGGGCAATTTTCCGTGTCAGCGTTATGAGATACCAAAAGCCCAGAGTTGGTTTTCTGTTAGAAACGTTTTGAAAATGAGTCGGCTCAATTTCTTATGAGATTCTTGTGAATCTTCCTCTATGATCTAAAATCAGAACCGTCTCTGCACAGCTACTTCACTCAAAAAAAAATCTGTCAATTCACAAAAGGTTACAGTGTCAGTGTGACAACGATCACAAAGAGTATAGATGAAAATTCAAGGCCTAGCATTCATTGAAGGAATGCAAATCACCTGCAGCCTTTTATGCCATATTTTTAAGCTGAGATGTTCAGAAATGACAGATGCAGTTGTTTTGGTCCAACCTTACAATAAAACAAACACTAGGCTCTTTCAGAAGACAGTCCCAATTATTGGACGAACAGTKCGTTCTGTGTTGACGCTCCCTCTGGCAGTTCAGTAATCACGAATGGAGACATTTTCTTATCATGCTCATGTGTGCTTTCAGAGAACATTCATTATAGCGGTAATAAAAAAGGCGTAGAATAAACTCAGCTGCTCTGATGTGTTGCTGTCACTCAAGCTGCTGATGAGTCGCAGAAAGACTCTTGCCCCATATTACATTATTATTATATTGTTATTATTATTATATTGCAGAGATCTAAATACAGTCAAGTATGTCTTTTTAAGGTTGAAGTTTCAAAATATTCTGAATCTTATTATGGTTGGATCTGTGCTGCGGCATCCTTTCAGCCAGTCTTTGTGCCAGTAATGTTTGTACAGCTGGGTGGTCCCTGAAGTTGTCAGTCACCACTACGCCAGCCCACCTCTTCAGCAGTTGACAGTTACACCTCTGTTACCTCGTTTGGCAGAACTGAGCCACTGGAGAGGTGAGGAGAAGGTGTCGGCCCTGGACTGAGGCATCTTCTGACAGTGCCTTTTATTTTGTGCCATATCAGGAGATGGTATGCCTGGAGTATGTGCTGTGGATGAGTCTTGGTTACATCCACACCAAACTTTAGGTAAATATCCACAAGACTGAGTTGTAGCTCTTTGTGTTTTGGAACACCTACGTTTAGAATGCTAGCTTCCGTGTTAGCACCGAGCTAATATGCAATATGGTGATATAGCATTAGCCGTGTATTTTTTAGTAATCTATATATGGTGTTACTTCCAGAGCTAACAATATTAGCTTGGCGCTAACACGAAAGCTAACAGGCTAAACTAAGTTTTTCTTCCATGAAGCAGCTCTGTTGTCCTCGATCCACATTTTCAGCTGCATATAGCATCATTTCTACATTTTCCTGCCTGTCAAGGCGCTTTGGTTTTATTTAAAAGGGCTGATTATCAGATATTGTCCAAAATTAACCATCAGGGTGGATAAGAGCTCGCACAGCCTTGCGAACATCATCATTTACCCAGTATGCTTTGCAGCTTTACGAAAATGTTGCAGTCCATGTGACATTTGCTTAAAAATTAATAAAAACACAATATTTTTATTCTTTGTTTTACAGTTGAAATTAATGTTTCTCAAATAATGTCTAATGTTACAAGTAATGCTGTCAAATGATTACCGGTAATATTTTTTAATCTGATAAATCCCAAAGTAGCTGTGGATTAATCATGATTAATCTTAAATTTAATATACATTTCTATCGCTTAATGATAAAATAAATTACTTGAGTTATTAATTCGTTTTTAATGTTTTTATTTAGAAAACAAAATTGATGCTTAGACATGATTTTCTGAATATAAAACAGGACCTAAAAAATGCTCCAAACATATTTGAGTCAGTTAAATTTTGTGCAGAATAATGAGGTTAAATCAAAAAATTCAAGGATTTTCATTCCAAATGAACATGTTGAATGAAAGATAGATACTAAGGTCACAAATGTCAGTAAAACATAAACAAATACAATAAAATAAGCAATAGGAAGACAAAAAAAACTACATAATGTGTTATTTTTAATCTATTTAATATTTATTTACCCAGGCAAACTGTTCGAGAGCCACTTCTCGTTTACAAACATGACCTGGCATGCACTGACATGGAGTGCATTAGTAAAGTGATTGTTTGTATAAAAAAAGGAAAAGTTAGATTAATCGCGATTAATCACGATTAAATTTTTTAATCTATGCCCAGCACTAAAATTTATCAATATGAGTTAACTCGATTAATTGCACAGCCCTAGTAGTGGATCCCTTTAAAGAACATGCCTTAAGAAAAGAGGAAGATGAGCATGGATACTGTACTGYCAGCAGAAAGACTGAGGCTGAGACAAAAGAAGTGTGGATGAAAAACAGAGACAAACAAAAAGTGAAAAAAAGAGAAAAAAGGCAGAGCAGACAGGCAAGAAGGAAGGGAGGGAGGGGGTACACACCTTCTTTATCCGACCACGGGTATTTCTGCGACGGTTTATTTGAGGGAAGAGGCTCCATCTCTAACACCTTGTAGATCTGCCCAAATGCCATGAGTCTGAGAGCATGCTGTCGAATGCAAAACACAGCCAGGATGAGGAAAACAAAAGACAGCTGAGGAAATAAATCCAGTCTAGTACAACAGATTTAACATCAACAGTCTAAAAGTGTGTGATTCCAGTGCTGCAAAATTAAATAAGTAATCCGGAGGTTTAGTGGTGAGCTTTCTCATTATGACAGAGGTTTMTTTTTCCATTATATCATCTCCACACCTACATCTTTTCCCCTGTTAAAAATATTGAAGTCTAAAGCCCAAAGAAAGAAAACTTTGGATATTTATCTAGAGACAAAACAGTTTAAAAATAGAGGATTTCACTTTATAAATTGACTCACAAAAATAAAACATYCATATTCTTATTATACCTCAATGCTGCACAGTTTGCTAAATATATCTGCTCTCCCAAGCCACATTTTCTGATGTTACAAAGCGATGAGACCAGTTATGGACTTCTTACAAATCTATATATTACTGTCCATTTTCAGGCCTATAATTTTACTTTTGGGGACTACAAGACGAGGCGTACACAAATTAATGTTCAAACACAACTCAAGTTTTCTTGATATTCATTCCTGCAGCATCTCTCGTCTGAAATGTTCTAATTTACCAGCTCTCCCTTGAAAGCAGCCCCCCTGAAAAGCTCAGTTCTCTCTGATTAACAAGTTGGCCCAGTGAAAATGAGAAAACGTTGATTATGTTTGGTAACCATGATTATCGGAGCGGTCCGCTGAGAGCTGCCGGCTGCTAACGAAACCCCAGAGTTCTGCTGTACATGTTTGAACCAGATCTGAACCCAGAAAAAAAGAAAGACTCCTTCAAAAAAAACTTGCAAGTTGGTTTTTAAAGCACTTWTCTCACATTTTGCATACAGCTAAGTAATATTAAAATGTAGCTGAAGCAGGTCTTATGGGTACATTAAAGCAGAATGGACGGCTGCTGCTATTTCCAAGTAGCTTCTGGTTAAACTTCATGCAAATGTGTTAAATGATGATATGAAGAAGTAACTAAAGAAAGGTCTGGGTAACAAATGGAGCACCTCAGGCTGTATAAAAAAGSTTTTGGTGAAGAAGAGTAATGCCTGTTGGGCTTTTCAGGTTTTCAGAAGTTATATGTAAACAAAAACACAATGAAAGAATTCAATTTTTATTGTATTTGAGGAAAAACTGCTGTGTTCACACAAGACAAAGCAGGTCAAAGTGGTGGCTTTAGGCTAGAATAATCAAGCTTATGGTTTAGCCATTCATGTTCACATGGGAACACTTTTACAAATAAAGCTGCATACAGAGTAAAGCTGCTATAATATGGTAAAAAGAACTTTAATCGAATTAGAGAGCCATTTTTTTCATTCAGATTTAAATAAATGATCAACAGATAAACTGAAGAGGCGCCTTAAAGATAATTATTTTTGTGTTGAGAGGTGTGTAAAAAGATAACCAAATGGTGCACAGTGGCTTTGTTAAATTAAATCCATTAGGGAGGCAGAAGGTGTCAGATATTCATGACGCCTGGTGTAGCTCATTGACAGAGGAGCTCCTTCACTCCTATCTGCTCTTGTATCTGCCTCAATACAATTATCCCCATTGACATTCCAGCCTCGTTCAAGCTGCCTTCAAAGGAAATGGACGGCAGGATTCACTAAGCCATGCGGCTCAGAGGCTGCCATGCTCAGCCAAGTGTGTGTGAACGAGTGTGTGTGTGTGTGAAGACAGACCTGAGACTGCCCGTGCACACACACGGCATGCACACAACCACCATGCTCTGGGTGTCAGAGATGGATTTATGGCTCACAATGGCAATAGTTTCCCACACCACTCTTTAAAATGCAGCACCACACAGCCCTCTGAGGAGACGCATGAGTGTGTGTGTGTGTGTGTGTGTGTGTGTGTGTGTGTGTGTGTGTGTTTTTGTGTGTGTGTGTATCTGTGTGTGTGTGGTAATTGTCCTGTTGCTTATTTATTTCCAGTGTGACAGCTGCAGGTGAGGAGGACTGGGGGACAATAGCAGTGTCTCTAAAAGCTGTGCTGTGNTCTTCGTTTTTGGTAATTGTCCTGTTGCTTATTTATTTCCAGTGTGACAGCTGCAGGTGAGGAGGACTGGGGGACAATAGCAGTGTCTCTAAAAGTGTGTGTGTGTGTGTGTGTGTGTGTGTGTGTGTGTGTGTGTGTGTGTGTGTGTGTTTATACCTGTGCTGCATAGGTGATAGCCTCAGCCTGCTGGTCGGTCATGTTGGCCAGAGTATCTGTAGGCTCTTTCTCACAGGGGTCATGTAAACCTGGACCACCTGGGTGGCGTTACAGAGGACGCACAAACACAAAATAAGTCAAAGTCACTTCTTGTTACTTTTTGTTGTGCAGCTAAAACATGCAATTAGTCTGAAGTGACAGCAGAAATGTTGATCAGTCATATTTACATTTTGTTAAATGTCAGTGCTTTCAACAATAAGAGCAAGTATGTCAAATGTACCAAATGTTAATCAGGAGGAACTTCAAAACAAAATTAATCAAGTAAATAAAATGAAATTTAGCTTTATGCGAAGACATTTCCCTGAAGGTTGCACAGCATTTTGTAAAACTCCACCTAATTAAAATCCTTTCCAAATGATGACCTGCCTCGAGCAGCTGCAAGGTTGCTGGTAATGTGTCAACCTTCACAGCTCATAATGTGCCAAAATACCTGCTCGTCTCCCCCAAATTAAACCCACTCGTTAGCTGTGCTCATCAGCAAGGATGGAAAGTGGTGCACATGATCACTGTTGGACTATAAAACTTTGGTTTGATACCTGGGAGAAGAATGCCTGAGGCCAAACACTCCATGACTCGACGGAGGGCTTCTCCTGCCCCGAGGGGTCTGTTACAGGTAGCAATGGCCTTCTCACATATGAGTTCTAATGGCTGCAAGACAGGTTCCAAAAAATTAAAAAAAATTAAAAAAAAATAATAGAGAAACAGGTTTTAATACAAACGTCTTGAACAAAGCCGGCAAAAACATGATTTTTAAAAGGTTGTGGTTTTGTCAAAAATATAAAGACTAAAAGGCTAAAAGTAAATGGTACAAATACAAAACAGCTGGAGGAGCATTTTGCAACAAATTAGATTAATTTACTGAAAAGAAAATGATGAACATCTCATAAGTAAAGATGGGCAGAGGTAAACTGACAATGCATCAAAACATGATTCATGATTATAAAACATCTAAGACAACAGATTGGTTTCACGTGACGTCACAATGCAGTACAGCGAGAGCGTGAAATGAGAATGAAGGGCAGGAAATTAACCAGCAGAGGGTCTGCTGTCTGAAAAATGCCCATGTTTTTTGTAGTTTACAGCTGCTCCAATCGTTCTAACCAAGAAAAGGAAAAGAGGTATTATAAAGTACCAAATATTGTCATGCACAAACAAGAGAAATGTAGAAAACTCACAGAAGAACGTTATAAAAAGTGGATTTTAAAACTACATCTGCGGTTGGGAGGAGCAGAGTCTGCAGCGACCACTTCGTCAGAGGTATATTAGCTGCTAACTTGTTTTGGTGGTTGTTTTTTTATAGCTTTGGGTTGTCGTACAATGCTCAACTATTTAGAAACGATTAATAAGTTTCCAGTAGTTTTATATGGACCTCATCTGGATGCTTTAGGCTGCACTAGCATTAAATGTTGTTAAGTGTTGCATTGCTTGTTGATGTTAGCCGCTACTGCTAGCATCTTAACATAAAACAATATAAGAACAAACACTCACCCGGCCAAAAACCAAATGATAATCATCGTGAAGCTTTTTGGTACAGAGGTTATTGACCCACCCGCTGACAAAAAAAAGTTACACACCTCCAGTTGTTTATAGGCTGCAGTTGGGTGTAGTTAAACATATGAAGGACCAGATAGTTTGTGATATCAACAGCCTTGTTTATTGGCAAATTTTTAGGTAGGCGTTTTACTTCCTGCCCTCCATTTGAAATCATGGGTCATGAAAACCACGTGACTGAAACCCCGTTATTTAAGATGCAAATGTTTGAAGGGGATGAACGGAAAATAAAACGGTCAAAAAAGACTCACCCATCCCTTGAGAGGCTCCCAAACGGGGTGTCTATTGCACATGTCTCTAAGTATCCTGAGAACGATGACACAGGACTTCAGTCCGTTCACCCGAGCCTAGGAGATGGAGTGATGAAGTGGTGAAGATGGAGGAAGGTGTGAAGGAAAAAAAAATCAAACAGAAAAAAGAAAAGGAACAAAATGAGCAAATGACAGGCATACACTGATAAATAAATATTGAAGTGACTGCATTTGCCTAAATATCTGCATCCCCACAAACATATTAATGTTGACATGTTCTCTAGGCTTTTACTCCTTTTTCTATTGTCCATAATATAAATGAGTTGGAAGATAGATGGGGAAGGGGATGGGAAGGGGATCAAAGGGAGGCACTGACATACTATAAAAAGCAGGCAGGTTCACACAGTAGCCAAAATGAAAAAAATAAAGTATAAACCACTGCTTTTGTAGCCTTACGATACATTTCATCTTTTTATTAGTAAGTGTATGCAACAGAAACACAATTTAAAGAACGTAAAAATCCAAGAATTTTTTTTTACAAAGTTTCAATGCATTTTTTGTTGTAATTATGTTAAAAAGTGTAACTTTATGCCTTCAAGAAACTGGGTGGTCTAATAGCGATGGTGGCACAATAAGCAGAGAGCGGCTGCGTGCTCTCGGGGGAAATCGTCAGGCTACAATAAGCACCAGGCACAAAGACAGGAAGTGAGTGGGTGCCGACCTGAAACCATTTGGCGTGTCGCAGCGCTGCCAGGGCCAACAGACATCTGTGTCTATCCAGCACCTCCCCCTCCTCCTCAGCCTCCACTCTCTGCGCAGCAGCACCCAACACTGCCACAAAACAACAACAACCCAATATAGAGAACGTAAAACACACACACGTCACGTCGGACTGTGTGTGTTTGAAGATTTGCATGTGTGTGTGAATGTACCCAGACATGCTCGAAAGCGCGCATGAAAGCATACATGCGCACACACACAGATATACACACGTGCATGGATACTTTTTTTTTTGTACATCCAAGGTYCTTTTCATGCCATAAAGTTGAACTCTCCTCAGAAAAAGTGCTCAGTCTCTGCACGGTTCACAGATCTGTGATGAATGGTTTGAAGATGTTATCACACTTTAAACAGTGTGACAGTTTTACATTTAGCCGCATCCAGTGATTCAATGTGATATTCACATTTAAAATTTAACACCGTGTAGTAGTTTACATTCATCCAGTTGCTGACAAATCAGTGAAAGTGAGAGCAGCCAGTGTCACAAGAAAAGAAGCAACTTTGTGGGATGGAGAGCTCCCCACAGACAAACAATAAACAAATACCTAAGGAGTGTTTGATCTACTGCGTGGTGGGGGCTGTGTTGTACCCAGCATAGTAAATCAACTTCTCCTTTATGTATTTGAAGAAAATTTTGATCCAGTCTGCACCAGGCAGGAGTCAAAATAGGAGCTTGTTTGATTATTATTTCATTAGCACTATATAACTGCACCTTATTTAGCTTTAATCATTAATACATGGTTAGTTAACCTTGAAGACATTATTAATTAAAGATGATTTAAACTTAATAAGCTATAAATTAACACTTATTAATGGTTTACCCATAAAMGCTAATTACCATTATAATGACTATGATTGCAGTCTGATTTCCAAAGGTGAAAAGAAACTTATAACCCATCAAGGTTTTGTCTACATTAACAAAAATGTAAAAAAGCACAAATAAGTCATCAATTTAGAAGAGTTCACAAAAAGACTTAACTACTAACAACTGCCTTAATTCTTGATGCACTGCAGCAACAATGATTATGTTTAAATGGTTTAAAATTAGCTTATAAAGTTACTGTAATCACTGTTAATTACTGAATTAGTTAGCAGATATTAACTTCTGTAGCATATTGCTACACAGACTGCTGAATCATACAATAATATGGCACAAATTATTAAATATTACAAGCTGGTTTTATGTAGAATAGTTGTGCCATGAGTTATTAACCATGAATAAACAACGTGTATGTTGGTTTTGGAAGTCATCAGCCTTTATGGGTGAAGCATTATTAAATGTGTTAATTATGTCTTTTTAGGTATGAATCATATTTAATAAATTATGTTTTCAAGGTTAAACAATGATTTATTAATGATAAAGTAAGGCTAAATAAGGAGCAGTTATTGTAAAGTGCTACCAATTTTTTAAATGTAAATTACTTAAGGTGCACTTGATTTCACAGGCTAGTAAAACAAAAGTTGCAGAGGAGGCCACACAACAACCTCTCAGAACAAAGACAGATTCAAGCGCTCCCGATGTAGAAAATAAATTTTCAAAAAAATATAAAAACTAAGATTGTTTGAACTGATTTGAAGACGAGCACAGCACAAGAGGGATCAAGGCAGGGTTTAGTCAAAGCAGTGTGGTCGATAAAAGAAGAGCATTCTGGTACAGTTGTACTTTTATATGAGCTCGTTTGATTCGCGCCGCCCAACTTAACAGGCTCATTTCTCCACCGTTCTACAACTTGGGAATCGATGTGAAAACTGTCTGGCAGGCTGAATCAAACGCAGTTGTATGAATGATTGAGGTTACATGGAGTTTCCACAGATGGTTTATTGAACATAAAAAAGAATCATGCTGAAGAATCATCGGGGTCTTTGGAAACACAACGGGGGGAAATATTTTTTCTTATCAGTTTAAAGGCAGAAATGAAAATTTCAATATGAGTCAGCTGTAATTTCAGATGYGTCGAATGTAAAGCAGGACATTTATCTGACCTTATCCTTGATTGTTTCCCCCCCACCTGTTCGAGCAGATAGTGTGAATCTTAAGTCTGTCAGAGTGGCCCCAGCTGCATGTGGGACTGCTCTACTGCCAGTGGATCATTATYATCTTTCTACTGAAGCTTGTCCTCCCACATTTCTCGCAAACTCTCTGCTGGCTGCTTCCCCTTTTATTACCATCACCTACAGTGTTCCTGATGCCCRGCTGTCCCTCACTCTCATTAAAAGTATTCCCCCTGCAACAGAGTTTCCTCTCATTTTCTGTCCAGTGACCACACAACACGTGAGCTCTAATGCTGCAGAAGATATTTTCAGCGGTACTGTCACGTTAGTGCACGACATCAAACTCATATTCAAGTTGTTTCCAAGTGAAAAGAAAACATTTTAGAATAATCACATGGAAGCAGTTGGGGGATTTATCCATCTAACAGCATGCAATAACAGAGCTCAGAAACTTGGCTTACAATTCTACTACTTCCTCACATATTTTAGCTCTGATATTATATTGGTTGGGGAAAATATTAGATATTTTCCGTTATAAATCTGAGTGATTAGATCCAGGTGACGGGTGTGTTTATCAATCAGTTACAAAATACGACTCTGTGTGTGTGTTCTCCACGGCGTGAACGTCTCCTTGTGTGTATAAGAGAGAATACGAGGCGCTCTTCGTCGCTCTGAGGCCTGTGGAATGATGTACGGCTAACCTTCGTGCTATCTCTCATCTGTCTCTGAGGGGTGAGTGTCTAGTTGGACGGGAGCCACAGGATGGATGGGCAGCTTGCTGCTTCTTGGTTATTGATTCCAGCGGCCTGCTGGCCTTGCTTTCCCAAGCTACCCACAAACTAATTATAACCAGTCTCTGCTAGGCATGAAAACAAAGGGGAAGGGGGAGGATTGTTAGCAGACCAAACACCAGACAATTCCTCTGCGTGTTAACTCTGGCATGTGTCCTGATCTTAACACCCTGTAACACGTACTGATGTTAGACTTTCACCACAGCTGAGCTTGTTACGSAGCCTTTCCATGCATTTATTATGCTGCATAAAGCAGTTAGCTTTCTGCTGGCGCTATCACCTACTGCAGCTCCTTTCTGACTGTTTATTACAGCTACATCAACAGCAAGAGATTCTAGACACAAAGCTCTTCTGACGTCAGTGGTTTCTCTTCACTGTTAGGAGTTTGACTTTTAAGCTTTGCTACGTTTATTTGACCACACAGCAGCGCAGCCACACACAGGTCTGAGGTCAGCACACAAGAGAACTGTTGCTACCACTAAACTGACAMGAAGCAGGCTTTCTTGTTACTTTTATTTTACTGAAAACACTTGGTTTGGTTTGGGGCAAGCTCACAAGTGGTTTCTGCTTGTGTGGAAAAGCAAAACTGAGTTTTATCAAAGGATGAGGACAGAATGACATGCTGATAAACTTTTTTTTTACTTTACCACTAAATTGTTGGTCAATAGATTACATAAACAAGCAAAAGATATAGTTATCACTCACTGCTGAAGGCAAAGAGGCATATTTTTGTGTTGTAGCTGAGAGTTAACCTCAACATATACTCTAAGCACCAACAGATCTGTGAGATCCCCCAATATATTGCCTGAGATTGTGCATAAAATAATTTACAAAGTTTAAGAAAGACTGCTACAATCATTTTTCAACAGAGGATCTCCGTCTAAAACTCTGAAAAGGAAACAGGTGGGTACGATTTACGATTTATTTATTTAACAAGAACAATATACCGTTTACGTACATTAACCAAAGGGAGAGATGGACTGTATCAGTTTATAAATTTAAGAGCTAATTTCTGCTTGCAGTCCCTGACCCAACAGGTACAATTTAAAAAGGAAAAAAAAATGTTGGATGCTATTTGGGAGACGAGCATTRCTTCCAGAAATACTAGGCCTTTAACCTTTAAAAAGTTTTTACTTTTTCGGTGACTTTAACAATGTAAAACACTGAGAATCATTTAGAAGAAGTWAGTAAATATCTTGTTTCAGCAGCTTCTTCCACAGCTCTTATCTTTAGTTCCCACAGTTACGAAGCACTTTTGAGTCGRGTGCAATAGATGCCACATCCTGTCGATTACTGCAAAGTTTCTCTGCACATTTGGTGTTGTTTACTTCTGTCTTTATGAAAAACATGACTGACTTTAAATCTTATCTACGTCAAAGAGCCACTTTGGGTCCAAGAAGCAAATTCTATCATTTATTGTTTGCATGTGRAGCAATTTATTTGACAAAACTGTTTTTCCCCCTTAGAAACAAAGCAAACATAAAGATGTGTTTTATCTGTTTTAAACTCCAGTAGATCTTTTTAAGTTGTTACTTTCATGTTAATTTGAATTTTTTTCTGTCTAAACTTTAGTGTTTGTTTTTACAGTTTGAGTTCTGCAAGTTGTTAATCTGGAGTATAGTTTTGTCTACTCTACCCACCTCTGCCTGTTCCTGTCTCGTCCTGTGTCATCCTCAGTTAATGAGGTCAAACTCTTGTTTGAGAACAAAAACATTTGTTTGGTTACAAAAGAAAAACACATTTAATACAAAACTGTTTTCGTTTCTCTGTATAAATGTTGAATACCTTCCCATCTCAGTGTTCCTACCTTGACCATTTTCTTTCCCCTGCTCCTGCTCTTCTTCCCCCATCGRCTCCTCCTCTACCTCTTCCGTTTCCTCCCCAGTCTCCAGCTGCTCTTCTTCCTCCTCATCCTCCTCTTCTTGATCTTCGTCTTCTCTCATTTCTGGCGAGGTGAGGGTAATCTTCAGTGTGAGTTTGGGCTCTGCTGTYGTTTGTACCAGGATGGCTGCTTCTGGCAAGGAGCTTGTGACCTCGTATTTCTCCTCCGTCTGCTTCTGCGATGTGTTAATAAACACGAGCGAGTGGTCACAATACGACAAAATGTATATGAACCTGCTGCAGCCTTTAGATATTACAAAATGTCCATTTCTAATTWAAAAAAAACATCAACATATAGAAGAAAATTTGAATCCCCACTTCATCCTTTTGGCATTTACACTCACCGGCCACTTTATTAGGTACACCACGCTAGTAACGGGTT